GGACAGCGCTAAGTATCTGTAATTATTTAGGTAGGTAAATATCAAGCCATAGCTTTTTGAACAATAATTAGGTGAGTTTTATATTTTATTTTAAATGTATTTAATGTTTTCAGACTACGAAGCGGTGGCGGCAGGTTATTCCAGCATTTAGAGGCAGAATATTTGAAACTTCCACGAAAGGCGATGGTACGATGGTAGGGTACAACCAAAGAGTAACATGACGCGCGAGTGATCTTTGATTGTACGTCGCGAGACCACACTAATTTGTGATAAAGATAAGGTGGTACATTATATTTAATTAATCCAAATAGAAATGTGGCTAGGTGGTTTTCTCGCCTATAGTGCATTTTTAAAATATTGTGCTCGTTTATGTACGGCGTGACGTGAGCGCGTGGTGGTATCTTAAAACAAAATCTCACACAAGCATTCTACACCCTCTGGACAAGTTTCTTGCTATGCACAAGCAGACGAGGGCCATACACTATATCCATATAATTAAATTTAGACAGAATCAAAGAATCGCACAGTCTTATCCGCATATCGGTATTTAGGCAATTTCTAATTTGATATAATACTTTTAACCTATAAAAACATGTTCTTGCAGTGTTTATTATGTGACTTTCAAAGCGTAACTTGTCATCAATCAACAAACCCAAATTACGAGCCTCAGTCACGCGTTCAATTCGTTCGCTCCTTATGGTTACTTTAGCATCATGTTTTGCTATTTTTTGTATTTGCTGAGCCGTACCTAGAATCATATATTTAGACTTGCTTCCATTAAGGACTAATGCGTTCGAATCTGACCAAGCTGCAATTCTTTCGAGATCGTCATTTAATTTTTCCACCGCTAATTTAGTCTCCCCCGGTTTACAAGGTATATATATCTGTGTATCATCCGCGTACATATGGTATTTGCAATGCTTAATACAATTTGTTATATCCGCACAATACACGGCAAACAAAATAGGTCCTAGGATAGATCCCTGCGGAACGCCTTGTTTGACAGCCTGAGCGTTCGAAATGACTGGTAACCCATTTTCGACTGATATTTCTACTTGCTGTATACGATGCTCGAAATAACTTTCGAACCATTTTATCGCAGATATGTCGAAACCGTAGTAATGTAATTTAGACAAAAGCAATGGCACATTAAGACAGTCGAATGCTCTGGAAAAGTCTAGCAAGGCTAAAATCGTTCCTTTGCTACTGTCTATATCTGATAGTATATCGTCGACAACATTTATCATAGCGGTTGACGTACTGTGGTGTTTTCTAAACCCTGACTGAAACTGGGAAGCACATCGTTAGTTTCTAAGTATATTCTTACCTGCTCAGCCACGACTTTCTCCAGGATTTTTGATACACAGGGGAGTATACTAATCGGGCGTATGTCCTTCATGGTAATAGGATTTGAGTTTTTGGGTATAGGTCTGATGAGTGCGTGCTGCCATTCTGAGGGATATGTTTGCGTTGTAATTGATTTATTAATTATCTCCGTAATAACAGGTATTGTTACGGGAAAAGACATTTTTAACATATCCAAGGAAATACCGTCTGCACCCACCGCATTTGACTTTAATGACTGTGTTATTTTCATAATATCACTTTCCTCAATTGTCTTCAGTTTGAATACATTTGAGACTTTGACGTGTGATTTAAAGAATGTCATATATGAAATAGGAACTTGATTATTTCCTGGCACATTTAAAAAGCTTGTATTAATCGAATCGGGGTCGTTGAAAATATGGTGAGGCAGGTCCGGCTTAGTTTTTAACCTAACGTTTTTCTTTATATGTGACCATACGATGCGAGTATATTTTTGATTATTTATAAAAAAATTGTAGTAAGCTTTCTTTTCTCTTATTAATGCTTGTGCAACATAGTGTTTGAGCTCTTTATAAAGTAATTTTTGGGCTGCTGTACCACCTGACTTACGTGCGACAACACCTGCTTCATCTCTGACTTTCATCATTTTTTTTATATTATAAGTAATCCAAGGATATTGGAAGTGTTTTAATGATTTTCTACGTACGGGCGCATGAGTGTTAAATAATGTTTTTAACATAGTATTAAACAATGATACCATGTCATTGACGCGATCCAATGTTTTGAAACTTGTCCAATTTAAAGACTTAAAATGTAATAGGAACTGTTCATTATCAATCGCATGCAAATTTCTACGCGATATAATAATTGGTTTTGGTTTCGGTTTTTTTATATTTAATTCGCAGCAAATAAATGCATGATCGCTTAGTTCCGGTATATGATTCACAGAAGTGAATGATTATTGGATGTCTGTACATACTAGGTCTATTAAAGTTTCACTGTATTCCGTGAAGTGGGTAGGCTCAGTAACACACTGATTTAATTTATAACATTGTAAAAAAAATTTCAACTTCTTACAGTTATTATCCATATCATTTAATAAATTTATATTGAAATCGCCTAATAAAACTACATTATTACACCATGATAATGTTCCGATAGTTTCCGATAAAGCATCGAAAAAAATGTCAACACTCAACCACGGCGGTCTGTAGGCAGTACCAATTATTAATTTTGTACCGTTAATTGTTAGTGCAAGCCACATTTGCTCTACGAGTGGGGCTGGGGGGTGCGGTAGTGTGCGGACTGCAATGCCCTGACGTATGTAGAAGCCCACTCCACCTCCGCGCGAGCGCACGTCGGAAGGGCGAGGAACGTGACGTAATCTATAACCGGGCACCGCAGGCGAGCGCCCCTCTTCGCCCTCTCGCAACCAGGTTTCATTAATCGCTATTATGTCGATAGAATAACGATCCATAGCTACGAGAAATTCGTCATGTCCTGTGCCAAGCGATCCCACATTAAGTAAGCCTAACTTAAGATTATGTTTAGAATTGAATGAATGAGATAATAGTCAAAAATACTATACTTGTGCAGCAACGAAGTGAGAAAAAATACCTACGAAGAGTGCTCTTAAGATTATGATACGCTAATATACTTTTTATGAAGCTCAATGTTTTAAAAATATATATAATGTAATTAATCATCAATAGAGTAGAATTATTATTATTATAACTTAAACATTTTCCCTTAAAATAACTGAAATATATAACTGTTTGAACACGAATTAATGGTTTTAATTGTAAATAATTATAAGTAAACATGAAATTAGTAATTAGAAACTCGGCCCTTACCATCGCACCATCATAGCCATAACAGCTGTAAATGTTTGTATACATAACATTATGAATAATTAAAAATATGGTTATAACAAATCTTAGTAGTAATAATTTTCTTATAATCAATATATTTAGACTTATATCGTTTACCCTATGCAGAGCTGCTAATGCAAACAATATTTGACTGAAAAACACGATTAAAGTCATCGTCTGTGCGGATGCAGTAAACCGGTTTGTCCTCTGCTTGGCGAACGTAGACACGACCCCTTCTTGTCCAGGAGTAGCGCCACGAAAGCTTTCGACAGGCTTCACGGACCCTATGGAATAGCTGCCGATTATTCCTCGTCAGGCGCTCATTTACGTAGAGGCGTTGGGGCGAGGAGGCCAGCCCGATGTCCGCAGTAGTGATTGAGCGACGCACGCGAGCAGCGCGCAGCAACTCGTCACGCAGGCTACGCCGCGCCAGCCGTACCACCACGCGGCGCGCTCGTATCGCTACGCCTCCTTCCATACTAGCGCTCAAAGACAGTGGCGCCGCTCCAACACGCTCCGCAAAGACGACGTCCCGTTCTTCCAGTGGTACCCCTAGCCTTACTGCTAGAACAGATATGGTGTGGGTGATATTCTCCCCTTCTCCTCAGGTAGATGTTCGATCTCAAGATCCGAAAGCAGTGCCTCTTGATCCCGGTCATTGAGCTCCTGCTTTAATAAATTAACTGTTTTCTCTAACTCATTGACCTCCACTTTGGTAGGAGTATGCATTTGCTCGATTACCTCCAGCCTTCGTTCAAAGCCATTCATTCGCTCCGTGAAGCATGCAACGGATGTATGGAGTTCTGCCATTTCCTTACGGAGTTCTCGCATCTCGACCATGCAGGCAACAAGTTGGCGGCTAAGCTCTCGTGCAGGGGAATCATCATCGTTCAAAGCAGTCTTCTGAGTTCCAACGCTGCATGGTGGGCTCCTGATCACTTGAGGTTCTAGCGGGGTGTTTCCGGAGATACCTCTTACAGGGGTACAGCTGTTATCACCCTTTCTTGACTTTTTTTTGCATTCCGGGCACACCCAATCTTTGCTTATCGTTGTTCCATCAGACACCATTAGACATGCCCTATGAAATATATTTGGACAGACTGTACAACCAACGTCACCTGTCGACGAGAGGAATTTGCCGCAAGCTCCGCACTTTGCCATATCGTATTTGTTTTAATTACTAATTAAATGCCGAAAGATGTCGTTAATGTTACTGTTCCTTACTGCTCACCAGATGGTTCTGAGGTACTGCCTACCCTCCACTGAGATTTAATAAAAGGAGACAATATTAATTACACAGTGAAATAAACACATTTTTTTTACACTATTACTTATCCACTGCAATCCACAACGATAACACAGCTCAGTTAAGATATCCGAACCTTAATTTTGACACAAACAAGTGAAATTATACTCAAAAACTATTTTTACGAAGAAAAAATACAACAGCTTAAGTTGACTGTATGCCGTCCGTAACGTCAATCAGAGAATCGCATGTATATAAATGCAGATACTGTGGTACGTTTTAATGTAAACAAGGGAAGGAATTGAAAATACTCCATAGAGTAAAATTCTTGTTACAAAAATATGGAAAGTGTGAAAATAAAAGTTTCGGTAAAAAAAATGTTAGCTAAGTAAATCATATAAAATTAGTTGAAAATTGTTTCATTTCTTAAAATAAAATTGAGGGGCATTTTTGGGGAATCTGCTGAAGTATTGTCCTTTAATTGGGAAATTTGACATGGAATTTCGGGGAATTTGACAAATTGGTGTTGGCAACGCTGCAATTTACCCATAGATTACTGTATAGTGCCACCAACTTATCTGTTCAGTTGACAGCGTCGCTAGTGGGGCGCTTACTATTGCCATTTAAGAAATTCACCGAGGAAATAGGTGACTACATATTCATTACACATAATATAAAATAAAACAAATTTCTTGTTAATATATTAAAATTAATGAGAATTAGTGTTTTTATATATATTATATATATTATTTATATTTTATAAAAATAATTGTGACGTGTTCAAGCGGCTGAACTCCAGGAATTTGTGTTTTGAAAGATGTACCCGCGCTAGCTACTGGTTCCAATAATTCATCTTCTGAGTCACAGTCACTGGAGTCGCTTTCGATATCGCTCTGACACGCTATAATAAAGGGTTAATCTAAATACGCGTATTTTAGTCTGTATTCATTTTCAAGTTTTTTTTTTATAGGAGAGGGGGCAAACGAGCATGCGGCTCACCTGATGGTAAGTGACTACCGCCGCCCATGAACAACTGCAATACCAGGGGAATCGCAGATGCGTTGCCGGCCTTTTAAAAAGGAGTACGCTCTTTTCTTGAAGGTCCCTAAGTCGTATCGGTCCGGAAAAATCGCTGATGGTAATCGATTCCACAAGGAAATCGTGCGAGGAAGAAAACATCTTCTAAATCGCACAGTGGTGGACTGCCAATCATCCAGATGGTGTGTATGGTATCGGGAGTTCTGCCGCGATGTGCGTTCGTGAAATTTGGCGGCTGGGATTAATCCGAACAATTCCTCAGAGCACTCCCCATGGAAGATGCGAAAGAAAATGCAAAGGGATGCAACATCCCTTCGCAGTGCCAATGAATCGAGCCGATCGGAAAGGGCTCGGTCGTCGATGATTCGAGCAGCTCTGCGTTGGATGCGGTCAAGTGGAAGGAGCTGGCACTGGGGAGCCCCTGCCCAGAGATGGGAACAGTATTCCATGTGAGGCCGAACTTGCGCCTTGTAAAGTTGCAGGCGGTGTGCCGGCATGAAATACTGTCCCGCTCTGCTGAGCACGCCAAGCTTTTTAGAGGCCAATTTGGCCTTCCCTTCCAAGTGACCACGAAACTGCACGTCACTCGATATGTCGACTCCGAGGATACCGATACTGGCTGAGGCAAGAAGGGGAGTGCCTTGAAACTGAGGAGATACGACAAAGGGGTTCTTTTTAGCGGTAAACGCGCAAACTTGTGTCTTCTGAGGATTAAACTGGACTAGATTTCATCATCATTACAGCCCTTCACAAGTCCACTGCTGAACATAGGCCTCCCCCAAAGAATGCCACAAAGCACGGTCCTGAGCCACCTGCATCCATCGACCTCCTGCATGTCTTACCAGGTCGTCACTCCATCTCGTGGGGGGACGCCCTACACTTCGCCTACCGGTACGAGGCTGCCACTCGAGAACCTTTCTTCCCCATCGGTTGTCGGTTCTTCGAGCTATATGGCCGGCCCACTGCCACTTCAGCTTACTAATCCGTTGGGCTATGTCGGTTACTCTGGTTCTACTGCGGATATCCTCATTCCTAAGTTTATCACGCAGAGAAACTCCGAGCATAGCCCTCTCCATAGCTCGCTGAGCGACCTTGAGCTTCCTCATACGGCCAGCAGTGAAGGACCACGTCTCAGTTCCGTAAGTCACCACTGGCAACACGCACTGGTTGTACTAGATTTAGTCGCCCCCAGTCCGAGACTTTGCTCAGCAAAGACTCGACTTCAGACACAAGTTTGTTCCGGTACTCAGCGACGTTTTCCCGAGAAATATTGGCACGGCCGGTGTATAGAGCATCACCAGTGCTGTCATCCGCATAGCAATGAATGTTACCAGTTAGCAACATATCATTGATATGCAGAAGAAACAGCGTTGGTGATAGCACACAGCCTTGTGGAACACCAGCGTTAATAGGCTTGTAGTCAGAGCATGCACCGTCTACAACGACCTTGATGCTCCGATCTGCAAGGAAGCTGGTGATCCAATTGCACAATTTCTCGGGAAGCCCATAGGAAGGGAGCTTCGAAAGAAGCGCTTTGTGCCAAACCCGATCGAAGGCCTTCGCAATGTCCAGACTAACGGCCAACGCCTCCCCCTTGGACTCTACTGCCTCCGCCCATCTATGGGTCAGGTAGACCAGAAGATCACCAGCTGATCGACCCCGACGAAAACCGTATTGGCGGTCACTAATCATCTGGTGATCCTCAAGGTACCGGATGAGCTGGCAGTTAATTTGGAGTAATCCATTATTTTGGAGAACAAGGAGGTGATCGCGATAGGCCTATAGTTGGATGGATCTGAGCGGTCGCCTTTTTTAGGGATCGGGTGGACAAAAGCTGTCTTCCATGAATTCGGGAATACGCCTTGGGAGTAGGAGTACCGGAAAAGACGCGTTAGGACCGGTGCCAACTCCGGAGCACACGTCCTCAGCACAATTGGGGGGATTCCGTCAGGCCCACTCGACTTCTGGATGTCCAGGGAGAGCAGTGCTTTGCGAACCGAGCGCTGTGAGAACAGCACATCCGGCATGGAGCACTCACACCGCGGGATGGTCGGCGGTGTTTTCCTCCCGTCATCAAGAGTCGAGTTGGACGCAAAACGGGAGCCTAAAAGGTCGGCTTTAAAAGTTTTTTTAAGTTTTTTATATGATTACAAATGTTTTCCCACTACACCGGTGTAATTTTATGGAATGCCTCTTCAATTAATTGGGGCGTTGGAACATAAGATTTACCAACAGTTTTACAGTAGATTGAAATAATTTTTTTACTATGTTTCACAAGTAAATTATTTGGTGATTTTAATTTTCCATATCTGGCAATACAAACCTGTCGCGGCAGCAACGCGTTCATACAGCTTTTCAAATGGTATAGTTGGGGCTTGTACACGTCTCTCGCCTTTCATAAAAGATAAAACTTTCAGGATATTCTGTCGCGCATCACTTTTAAGATCTTTAGGCATTTTATTTGCACTTTTTAAAAACACTCACCTGATAGCTCAGAATAAATAATAACTGACAGCGAAATGTCATTTACAAAATGGCGGCTTTAGTTCCAATTTTGTCCACCTGAACAGATAAGTTGGTGGCACTATACAAAACGGTACATAACGTAGATAGACTATGTCTATGGTACATAATACTTCTTCTTCTTAATAACTGGCTTTACGGCTCTGGGATCTAGCCCTTCTGAGCCTGAAGTTACAATATATTATAATAATTATCCTTCATAGTATACTGCTTCACAATATGTTGATGCATCACATTGTGCAGCCCTTGGGAGATTTTGACGGCAACTTGAGCCAATAGACAGCTGACGGTTGGCGATGGTATCTCAAGGCGCTTAAGCAGACGTATACCTTATTTTGAGAATCACATCACCATCAGAGCACTTGTTTCACAGTTTTTTACTAATAATTCACATACGCAGACACTTAATACACAAAATCGCACCACTTTTACATATCAAAGTCCACTTCAAACCATTATTTAAACAATAATACAGGAGCAGCAAACCGCCGCCGGTCAGGTTCCCGCCAAAAACTCGGTACATAATACCTAAGGGTATTAGTCACAGAGTACTTTTTATATACTGAAAGTATTAGTGTTCTGTGACATAATATATCAGAGTATTTCTATGTAATATAATATATTATTGAAGTAATACAGGCTCAGAAGGGCTAGAACCCAGAGCCGTAAAGCCAGTTTAAAAAAATATATTGAATTAATTGAAGTTTCCAAGCACAGAGTACATTGTATATACATAATCCATTGGAAGTTGCCAAACTAAGAAAAAAAAAAAATTGTATATACATGAAATTTCCAAGTTACCTATTGAAAAACAAAACTGTTGGTTAAATTTTCGAATAGGTTATCAATCTTAGCTTAAATCGCAGAGCAATAATAGTTATTACTCTTAGCGCAGACTTAAATTTAGTGCAAGACATGCAGATATTTGGAGATTTTATTGCTTGTCAAAGTTAAGAATTGGATAAATATTATAACCAATGATAAGTTGTGCGGCTTTGTATATGCTTCTATTTTAAGTTGAAGCAGTATATAATTGTATTCTAAACAAAAAAAACTTTCAATTTAACTGAAGTGCATAGTCCATTGAAAACATGTTTAATCAACTCGGTGGCGGCACTAACAACCCTAACAAAGATGTTGAAGTCACATCTCCACCGGACGACACAGTCTCATCGCTAGAATTCTCTCCACCGTCCGTTCCACAAACCTTCCTTGTAGCCGGTAGCTGGGACTGTCGTGTAAGTATATGAGTTTTTAATAACAAAATGCGTGGCTCAACTTCAATACTTACAATCAAAAGTACAAACTTATAAGGAACTCTGTGCTAAAATCTGTTATTATCTTTATAGTTTTTTTTTTTCATTTAAATTTACAACAGCTGTGTATAATAGTAGGTTTATTGCTAATTTGTTACATACCACTTAACATATTTTCTTAGAGGTGTGGTTAAACTGCAATTTGATTAGAAAGAGAACACACGGTTGGAACCAAGTTCCTTTCGTAGTATATTATTATTAATATACAAATACAAATAAATGAATTACTAGCGTCTCTTAAAATGAAGCATCATTTAAAATTATATTTCTTTAATAGCAAGATAAGAAAATGTGCTAGGGAGATGGATATTATTCCATCTCACTTCCATTATAGGAAGGGGGCTGTGACGGAAAAATCTTACACTTTTTCTAACACTTTTGGAAATGCATCCTATGCTCAAGGCTGACAAGATTAAGGTCACCAATAAACCTTTTAGCATGTCTCTAAAAATGGGTCCAATGCTGTTAGATGACATATTGCAGCCTCTTTTTAACATGAGAAATTCCATCTGTATATCTTTTGCTACAAGGACAGAATAGAATAGAATAATTTTTTATTCAATATTGATTATTACATAATACTTATTGAAAGTCATTTTTTATTTACCACTGGTTCGGAAAACACCCCAGTCCTGGGAAGAACCAGCAAGAAACCCAGCGGGGCATTTTTTTTCAAACATATTTCACTTAACAATAACTTCGTTTATACAATTTTAAATGATTTTTCATAGAATCAGCGTGGTGGCGATCACCTTATTCCTAGGGGCTATTTTCATTCATGTATTCCTTGATATTATAATAACCCTTTTTGTACAGTTTTTCTTTAATAAAACTTAAACTTGTATATCGACAAACTTTGAATATGTTCTGGGATTTTGTTGTAAAAGTGTATACATTGCCCCATAAATGAATTACTGATTCTGTGGAGTCTAGTAACTGGCATTACAAGCTTATGTTTGTTCCTAGTGTTTAAAGTATGCACATCCTTATTCTTATTAAAGCTATTTATGTTTTTATGCATATACATTACATTCTCATAAATATATTGTGATGCCAAAGTTAATATGTTTATTTCTTTACATTTTTCTCTGAGGGACTCTTTACAATTTAGGTTATAAATCGCCCGTATGGCTCTCTTTTGTAAAACAAATATAGCTTCAATATCAGTCGCATTACCTCAAAGCAAAATTCCAGGGTTGGATTTAGAATCGTTTGGCACGAATTTGGGGGAGTAAGGTGTTTTGTTTGGTAGACATTTGCTCCCCAATTATAATAATACCACTCACATTAAAAGGTAATGCACCATTATTGAAAAAATAAATAAAAACTTTTATAACCTAAAATGTGTAAAACATGGAAAAATGTATACAAAATTACTGTGAAAGCTGAATAGCATATAGAATTTTGTATAAGTGCGACAAGGACGTAAGAATAATGTCACATTATTCTACTGTCTATACTTTCTGTCAAATGTCAAATCACATGACAATTAATTTTTATACATTCCGCCGTTGATTGATCTTCGTGCGTGAATGCGACTTACCTTTTTTTTACGGCGGACGCTATGTGTGTAATATTGAAAATGTCTGATTCGGAGGAACCTCAGCCATCTACGAGTTGCGATTTTGACAGTGGCGAACTGCCAGTGAGACGCCATCTCACCTCACCATCGCCAGTTATATGTAGTTATATGTCGAGGAGGTGAAAACAATGTGGAATTAGGTTGCTGTATACCGAAAACTTGGCACACGGGAACAAGCAATTGCTTTTGCTGAGGAAAAAGGTATGATCCCAGCAACAAAAATTTGTAGCTACCATAAAAAAAGTATGTGTGTAGAATACTCCACTAATAGAACGGTGGGATCATTTGTCTGCAACCGAGGCCCATGCAGATCAAAAGTCAATAGTTAGCCATGGCAAAGGCACTTGGTTTGAGAATGTCAAATTAACAATGACTCAAGTGTTTTACCTAATGTATGCATATGCAAATAAGTGGAGTTATGATATGACTCTAAAAGAAGATTATTCGGAAAGGGAACATTGTTTATCTAGATGTTTAATGATTGCTTTAACTACTGTCGGGAGGCTGTTGTCATTTATGAAATAGAAAAAAAAAAGAGTCCTGGGAAAAATCGGCAGTCCAGGAAAAATCGTCCAAATAGATGAAAGTAAATTTGGAAAAAGGAAATATAATAAAGGTGAGTTATGGCTAAATGTATGCATATAGTTAACAACCTGGAGATGATATAGGCTAATTTTTATCAATAAAATTTGAAACTAATACTTACTCTTGTTTTAGGCCGGCACATTGAAGGTAGACATGCGCGCCGCGCCGGCGCCGCCGCGCCACGCCGCGCCCTGGCCACGCCGCGCCGCGCCGACAAATCCGATCGGCGCGCCGTGAACCAACGCGGGACGGGCGCGTGGGCGCGGGGTCAATAAAACCATGCAATTATTTAAGAATTCAAAAATCAATAAAAAAATGTAAAAAGATCGTAAAAATCGTTCGGTATCGCTTACCGGAATTGAAGCGAGCGGCGGAAATAGAACAAATTAAATTTTTACAGTCTCTGGAACGCGTATCAGAACTTTCAGTATCAGAACATTTGCTACTAGGACGCCTAGTGAGCGCGTTTTTTCTATAGTGGGACTAACTGTGACTGCTAAAAGATCTAGACTAAGCCCAGTACACGTTAATAAAATTATTTTTATTCATGATAATTATACATTGTGTAAAAAACACAATTTTAATTTCCTATAGTTTGTGCAAGAAACAAAAAAATGTGCTTTTTCGTTTTTGCACAAATTATAAGGTATAATTAATTAGAACTTGTTTGCTTTGTTTTTATTTTGAATTTGATAAATTTGAATTCCTATCCAGGTCTATGTTTCACTTGTTACTACCTTATTTTAAATAAATGTTTATAAAAATTAAAATAAAATACGGCCGCGCCGGCGCGGCGTCGCCACGCCGACCGCAATGGGTCGGCGCGCCGCCGCCGCCAAATTCTTGCTCGGCGCGCATGTCTAATTGAAGGTCATTGGGTGCTGGACATGATCGAAAATGACAGTGAAGATTTAAGACTAGAAATTTGCCCCCAAAATGTGCGATCTTCTGAAGTTTTAATGCCCTTGATTCAAAAACATGTGGCTGACGGCACCATCATCCATACAGATTTTTGGCGGGCTTATGATGGGTTAGAAATTTATGGGTATATACAAAAAAAGTAAATCATAGTGACCCTGAAAACCATTTTGTGGCAGCAGACGGCACCCACACAAAGAATTGAGTCTCAGTGGCGTATGGTCAAAAGTTGAGCATGGACTATCGGAACTTTTTTCCAATACCGGTTTTGTTTCGATATTAAATATTTTAATACCGATATTCCGGTATTTCGATATTTTTCCGATATTATGGCAAAAAAAAGAGAACAAATTTGTTTAAATTAGACGTTGTTAGAGTCCAAATTAGAAATAAGACACTAATAAAAAGTAAATCAACTACTTTTATTATTGCGATCTTATACAATAATTAGAAATTAAAAAGTATGAAACACAAAAATAAACAATTTCTTAACATACTCTGCTATGTCATAAAATTAAAAAATCAACACAAATTAAAATAAGTAATTGAGTAACATAATATATAAGTAAATATTACATTAAACGCAAATAACTGGATATTAAATTGGTGGGGTGACTATATAGTCACCAGCCATATGTTGTAAGATGACTATATAGTCATGGCTTCAAAAACGAAGCCTACGGCAATTCACGAGATCGCGATTGCTGAAATATGGAACGTAAGTATCAGAGGGCATCCAAGGTATTGTCTTTGAGAGACGATCTTATTTTGTTGCACGTGTATGCCGCAGACGAGAACGCTCTTTCAGACTCTACACTCGTGGGGGGTATCGTCAGTAAATGTCTGTACGCCATGTCTAAATAGAACCCGCGGTTGCCACCATTTTCAAACAATGCCATTTCAATTTGAATTAACTTATGTTAGCTTCATCTTCTGTTTCATTTCTATTTCGCATATTTGTATTTTTCTCCTTCAATGATTTTTCAATTTCTTTATTTAGTTCTTTAGCAAAATCAACGCTTTCGAAATCTCCACTCACGCTGCTGGCGCTATTATCCAAGGCCAAATCATCCATAACCCTAACCACAGGTTCATCTTCAAAATTTTGAGTTAGTGAATAAATTTCCTCCACCATTTCTGGGGTTTTTGGGAACTCGGCGGTAGCAACTTCACTGAAATATGTTTCAGGATTTTGGAGATACTGCAAAGTAGATGCAATAGAAAGTCGTCTTTGGGAAATGCGCACGCGCAATGATCTTGCGAGAAGTCTTGACAGTGTAGAATTTTGACTATCTAATTTAAGTAGCATAAATTTCATAGCCGCATCAGCAGTTAATAGAGTTGCATCACGCCGGCACAGTGCTTCGACTGTCACTTTGATAATATTCAGACTTTTCTGGAAATTGTCCAAAGTATGAAACTCGCTCTGTGTGAACTTGATATCAGAGTTCATGTCAATCAGTGCTTTGGATACACATGATCTTAACCTATTGAATCTATCCACCATAGTAGAGATGCTTCCCGAACGTGTCTTACAATCGGCTAGTAGCTGGAGTTCTTTTCCCGTATCCTGTTTTACATGTTTCTGTAGAAACATGTCATTCTTCACTGGAGAATTTTTGAAAATTTTGACTACTGCACGTACTTTACTGATGACTTTTTTATAATAATTATTAAGCTCGTTTGGGTTTGAGTTTGACACCACCGGTATTACTTCAAATCCCCCGGTTTCGTCTTCAGCACTATCTGCGTCGTTCTCGTATTCGGAGTCACTTTCACTTCCACCAGCAGTAACAGCAGTATCAGGGAATCGCACATTTTCCGCGCCGCCTTGCTGGTATAATATGTCAAGTACAGCTACAGACTTGATGATAAGCGCGCAGGTTTCTTCCAACTTTTAACATGACGCTGGCGTCATCAGTGACTATTGCGACTATATCTCTATCTAAAGAAAGCTCAAATTCGGAAAGCTTTTCTTTCAAAAGTCTGATACACGTCTCAGATGGCATTGAACCATCCATTCGCACCAAACGCAGATTTTTGAAACGTGAGTCATCTGTGAACTCAACTCCTATGTCAATGTTGATATTCATATATCTGGCGTTAGAAGATGATGTCCATTCATCAAAACTCAAAGAAAACTTTTTACCAAGGGCTAATAGATTTTTCAGTTCAGTCACCAGTTTTTTCTTTTCCTGTTTACTATAGTTTATGACTATATTTTTTATACCTTTTGGAGTCTTCGGTAATTTATTGTAGCCAGAATTAGTAAACAGTCTTCGCAGATCCTCAAAAGTACAAAATACACTGAATGGTATTCCGTCCAAAGATGCCATTCTACTGACGGTTGTTTCAAGGGAGTGATTACTTTGAAAATAATCAGTCAATTTCCTTTTTTTTTTACCATCGATGAGGACGCTGAACAAGATTCGCCTTTTGATTTTGACACAGCGGTCGTAATGGTTGGAGAAGCAGATGTAGATGGTCGGTTTATGCTACTGTCATTAGTTTCTTCATTGTCAGACTTTGAATTAATGTTACTAACGTCTATTGTATGCGACGATTTTAAATGAACGCGAATACCAGTTGTTGTGCCGCCGTGAGATCGTATTATTTTTTGGCATAAATTGCATTTGCCTGACTGACCATCTTCTGCTCGGAGAAAGTAGTGCCAACTGAGGTTTAATCATCACACTTTTTTTTTCGAATTTTTCATACTTCATATTTTTACAAGTAAATTTGTTTGTTCAAGGAAGCTGAAAGCCTGTAACAAAACAATTTTGACTAAATAACTTTGACCAACTAAAGTTCAGATTTTATACATTTGCGAACTTATTTTAAAATTGAAGCCTATAATAGTACATTGTAATACAAGGGGCTAAAATGACCCATTATAGACGAGGTAGTTTTACTACCGAGCTTTAGCAAGGTAGTAAATAGGAACCGAGTTAAATTCCTTTTTTTCCCAAGGGCATAATATGCAATTTTACGCCCGATCTGGTACGCTATTATGACGGTCTTTTTCTTTTCCAGCAAGAGGAGTGAAAAATATATCATTACATATAAATTTATCTTAGAGATAATCTAACGGTTCAAATCAAAAGTAATAATAAAAGAAACAATAACATTTTAATCAAAGTAGCCCGTTAAAATGTAATAAAAATCATAAATGTAATGCTCGTCGTATTTGTATGTACACTTACCCACTTTGTTTGTCCGACGAGTGAATGAAGGAAAACAACGACGTCACAAAAACAAAACAAATTTGGCAATGCACACGTGCGTGCTTTTTAACATAAAAATATGAACTGCGCTGAATGAGTGGCACCGAGCGTCGAGCGCAACTATCTGGTCGAACCGGGCGCTGTGATTGGTCGAGTGAGGTGGAGCGAGCTACCCGAACCCCGAGCCACCCGCGCCCCGCCGCCCCCCGGCGACCAAAGTGTTGTATATGTCACCGTAAAATTGTCAAACACGTTATATTACAATATAACGTATTTGACAATTTTACGGTGACATATACACACTTTTATTCGGAAATAATCATTTAAAAATGACATATTTGTAAATCAATTAAAAGATCTGTATTTCTGTACCTGTGTTAACAAATAAAAGTGATTTGATTGGATCTGATTTTGTCACTGGAACATACATAATTATTATTACCCGTTAGGTATGCTTTACATTAATTAAAATTAATGAAATAAGTAAAAAAGATTCTATTGCCTCTGGTTTTTTTTTATATAAAATATCGAAAAACCGATATCAGTGAAATCCAATATCGGTTTTTCAATATCGGATTTCTGGTCCGATAATCCGGTTTTTCGATATTATCGAAAACCGGTATCCATGCTCTAGTCAAAAGGTATTTTGCTAAAGACAATTATAATAATAGAGAAAATTTTACCGACTTAATATATGAATATTTATGGAGAAGAGATTATAAAGAATAAAAGAGATCCTTTTGATGAATTAATAAAAATAATAAATTTTGTTTACAGAAAATAAAGAAATGATTATAATATACTGTGTTTATTTCTGAATTGTTTAAAAATGCCCAGAAATACTTGAACACCCAGAAATACTTTCAGTTGTAATAGGTTAGAAGGTTGTGGCAGGAACGAAGGCAACCTGACTATAGATAAGATATCTGATCTGATCGAATTTGTACTAAAATTAAACCAGCACACCCCGACTCCACGTAGTCTTGTCTACCCTACTCCTAGAGTGTTTTTGTAAAGCCTTAGGCGCGGAGGGAGAGCAGCCACCCGGGCGAGCCGTAGCGGCTGAGGCTGGTCGCCGAAGGCGACCAGTAAGTCGAAGCTGCGGAAGTGAGCATGGGTGCCTGTGATTCGCTACGCAAGGGCGAAGGGGCTGCACTTCCCGCAGCGCCGAAGCCGTTGTAGAAGTAACTAGGTCAATATTCCTGTGTAAAAAGTGAGGTTATGATTTTACAAAAACTAAAAGGGAAAGGTAGAGGGTCTTTCCCTAATAGGGCACACTTCTGCTACCCTCTGCTCCTGCTACTCCTGCCGGAGATGATAAATGTTATTTTGAGGTTAGGTCTATGGGATTTTCTTTTTCATTTTTCTCAAGAACGGTGTATTACCTTTTAATGGGAGTGGTGTCGGGAGTAAGGGGAAGCTCCCCCTCTCCTGCCCCCCCCCCTGCCAAACGATTCTAAATTTCAACCAAATTCCATAAGACAACAAGAAGGTTATGCCAGACAAAGTTATTAATTGACCTATATATATTGTTTTCCAGGTAAGATGTTGGGAGGTGGAGGCATCGGGCAAAACTGTGCCTAAAGCAGCACAGGCCATGGATGGACCCATTTTGGACGTTGCCTGGCATGATGTAGGTATCTATTTTTAATTATTGTAATTTAAAAATTGTATTTAATATTGCATAATAAATGTTAATATTGTTGCCTACAGGATGGCACCAAAGTGTTCATGGCCTCTACCGACAAAAGTGTCAAATGCTGGGACCTGGCTGCTAATCAGTGTGTACAAGTAAGTCTGCACTTACACAGTGCAATGTATATAAAACCAATTCTTTTTTTTTTTCTTGTATCCCAAATATGTCATAACCTAATTTTAATGACACATAGTTAAAAAAAACATTATTGAGTAGAAATAGAATCATCATCATCATCACAGCCTTTCAAAAGTCAACACTGCTGAACATAGAACCTTTTTTCCTCATCGGTTGTCGGTTCTTCGAGCTATATGGCCGGCCCATTGCTTCAACTTACTAATCTGTTGGCACTCTGGTTCTACTATGGATATCCTCATTTCTAAGTTTATCATGCAGAGAAATCCCGAGCAAAGCCATAGCCAGAGCTCCATAGCTCGCTAAGCGACCTTGAGCGTCCTCATACAGTCAACAGTGAAGGAGCATGTCTCAAATCCATAAGTCATCACTGGCAACACACACTGGTTATACAGTCTAGTTTTTAAGTTTTGAGGTATACCTGACAAGAAGGTGTGTCGTAATTTTCCGAACGCTGCCCAGCTGAGTTGAATCCGTCGATTGACCTCTCGGTCGAAGTTGGACTTATCTAGTTGAACTATTTGTCCCGGTAAACATATACTCGTCAATAAAACTAATTTTACGGATTTTATCGCGTATATTAACTTATTTTATATTCAAGACGTTTAGAGCACTTTACAGCACCCATGGTCACGGGGGGACTGAGGTGTATGACGTCCCAATGTCATAGTTAACCACGGCTACCTCCAGATAAAAATTATTAATTTTTGTTCCGATCTACGCAGTATGAACTTACAGTATATCATGCGGCCCCGCTATTCCTGGCTATGGTGGCGAACATGGTAACGGCGGGGCAGGGGGTGCTAAGAATCTCCGGTAGAGATTCGGTTGCCACCTACGACGACTCGACCTGGCAACTTATAACGCACGCACCCTGAGGAGTGACGAGAAGATCCTGGAGCTGGAAGAAGAGATAGACAAGTTGTGCTGGAATATCATAGGATTATCCGAGGTCCGAAGAGAGGGGGAGGACACGGTAATCCTCGAATCCGGCAACTTGTTCTATCACTGGGAGGGCGACCATCTGTCCCAAGGAGGTGTCGGATTTATCGTTCACAAGTCTCTCGTTAACAACGTTGTAAAGATCGAGAGTGTGTCGACGAGGGTTGCGTACCTTATACTCAGAATCACCAAACGGTATTCGCTGAAGGTCATACAGGTTTACGCACCAACCTCGGCACACCCCGATGAGGAGGTGGAGGAAATGTTTGAAGATATCTCCAGAGCCATGCATTCCTCCAAAACACACTATACGGTGTTACTGGGAGACTTCAACGCAAAACTAGGCACAAGAGAGAACGGTGAGCTGAAAGTAGGGAAATTCGGAATAGAGCAACGGAACCCAAGGGGCCAGCAGCTGGCCGACTTCATGAAGAAAGAGGGACTCTTTATGATGAACTCTTTCTTCCAAAATCGGCCCCACAGGAAGTGGACCTGCCGGGCTATTCACAATCGTCTTGGAAAGTGAAATCGACTCGGATTCGATAACTTATCGCACCGAAACCAATAAACGCTATTCACATTTAACGTTCGGATATAGGTCACTTAGATACATCCTATAACTATTGTACCGTCATTTAGTTACATGCATTTACGAATTTTGTAGATAAATAGACTTTTGTATTTTTTTAGAGTAACGCCTGAACAAAAACATAATGCAATATTTTGGTGTTAGCCATTGATATCGAATATAAAAAAATATATAATTTAATTTAACTATATAATAAATAACAAAAAACTGAGATATGTCTCGTTTCTGTCGGGTCTGGGTTTTTTTCTATGGGGCGTGACCGTACTTCTTTGACGTTTGTTTTCGATAATTGTGACAGTTTGCATCGGAAACCTCACGAGAGCTCTGAGGCTGGCGAAAACTTAGGAAAAGTAAAGTAAAGTATACGGTATCAACATCAATGGCGAGTACATCACTCACCTTCGATTTGCCGACGATATAGTCCTTATGGCAGAATCGCTGGAAGACCTAAGCACAACAGATAGGTCTTAAGATGAACATGGACAAAACAAAGATCATGTTTAATGTCCATGTCACACCTATGCCGGTAGTTGTTGGGAACACTAAGCTCGAAGATGTGACGAGTATGTTTACCAGGGACAAATAGTCCGACTAGGTAAGTCCAACTTCGACCGAGAGGTCAATCGACGGATTCAACTTGGTTGGGCAGCGTTCGGGAAATTATGGCACATCTTCCCGTCAGGTATACCTCAAAACTTGAAAACGAGACTGTACAAACAGTGCGTGTTGCCAGTGATTACATATGGAACTGAGACGTGGTCCTTCACTGCTGGCCGGATAAGGAAGCACAAGGTCGCTCAACGAGCTATGGAGAGGGCTATGCTAGGAGTTTCTCTGCGTGATAAACTTAGAAATGTGACCGACATAACCTAACGGATTAGTAAGCTGAAGTGGCAATGGGCCGGCCATATAGCTCGAAGAACCGACAACCGATGGGGAAAAAAGGTTCTCAAATGGCAGCCTCGTACCGGCAGGCGAAGTGTAGGGCGTCCCCCTACTAGATGGAGTGACGACATGGTGAGATATGCAGGAAGTCGATGGATGCAGGTGGTTCAGGACTGTGCTTTGTGGCATTCCTTGGGGGAGGCCTATGTTAAGCAGTGGACTTGTGAAGGGCTGTAATGATGATGATGATGAAATATTAGATTTTAAAAGTCAGGAATACAATTTATTTATTCATCAAAATTAAATAAAACGGCGTGCACAGCAAATTTTTAAAACACAGTCATGTTTTGAAAATTTCGGTACACAATTTCTGACTTCTCAATCAGGTTAACTGATTCTTGTTACATATAAATTTCAACTATATCACAGTACATTACTGTTTACATTTTTTTAATAATAAATAATAATACTTAAAGTTGGTAAAAATTATCGCTAAGATCTTAGTGGTCAGCCACCACAGAGTATACTTCACCTCAGGATGCCTCGTGTAGAGGTGAAACACGTGTCGTATTGTCGTTGGTGGTGTGTCTTTCCTATTGTAGTGGTGCTGAGCAATTGAGGATGGGCCGAAGGTGGTCTTCAAACTAGGTAAGACATAATTTATTTCATTGAGCGAATGTAGGCAAAATAATGTTTACCAACTTTAAATATATTGAATTTAGGCAAAGTAACGCCTGATTCTATTAATTATAATAATAATACCCTTATCTACATAATAATATACATACTGAATATCAAAACCTCCGTTACATTTAAGAACTAGAATAGCGACATATCAGCTTATACAAAAATAATATTGTATATCCACAGGTAGCTGCACACGATGCTCCTGTGAAGACTTGCCACTGGGTCAAAGCACCGAACTACAATTGCCTTATGACCGCATCCTGGGACAAAACTCTCAAGGTATTAATAACAATCACTCAATGTTTTCAATACTTATAAAACCGTCATATGTTTGGCAGTGGATCTCCCGCCAGACAAGGCGTTCAGCCCGTAGAGCGGCCATATATATACCGCAGTACTTCGGAACTTTGATAGCGTGATTTAGCCTTCGGTACGTTTCGCTTGTGGAGCAACGATTATGAAACCATATGTTTATTAGGTCTATAGAGACTAATATTACTGATTGTCTGCTATCCCACCTGATAGTATGTGATTCCTAAAAACAAGGGAAATAACTGAAATCCGGTATTTTATTTTCTTGTCCCGAAACCGGATCGCGACCCACCAAGGGAGAAACGTCGTTGTAGATTTTTTTAAAAAAAAAAAAACAATCGTACCATACATTCAACAAATTATTATTTTATAGTGGTGATTTCAATTCACACGAACGCTTGACATTGAATAAAAAAAAGCTATTGATTTAATCACGTTTAATTTAAATTATTTTTACTTCCCGACGCTTACACAAAGGCTGAAGGTAGCCGGGCTTACTATGATATCGAAACGTCAAACAGGGAGGGGGGCCTGAGGATACAGAAAAAAGCATTAGATAAAGGCAAAAGTTAAATTTTGAAAGGACAAATTAAATTAAACGCGTAAAGTTGATTTTACTCAATGCTTATAGTGAGTGATAAGGTGACAACAGTGATGGCTCTGATGGTGCAATGACTTAGCATTGAGTTGCGGCGCTGTGGGCCGCGGGTTCGAATCCCGCACGGAACAAATATTTGTATGGCCTGCCTACAAGTAATTGTTGTAGGTCTGGATGTTTGTGCTTGTGCAATTTATGCATATAAACTGCCTCCATGATACAGAAGAAAATCCTAGTGTTGGAATAATAGTTTTAAAAAAAAGACATGTCAAATCGCATCCACACCAATGTTTGTACAAGTAAGGTGTTGTAGTTACTTTTTTGGCTGGCCCAGAAGGAGGGCAATGTTTTTCGGGATTTATTTTTTATTTTTATAGAATACATACATATAATTTTAGGGTGACAAACAAGCACACAGTCTACCCAATGGTAAGTAGATGCTATGGCCCATACACATTTACATTTATGCCCCATTAAGAATCAAAATGCAGATGCGTTGATGCCTCTTTTCCAGTAAAAAGGGTCTCCGGTTCTCTATACTCACCATATGAAACACATCAACATTATGCTACTATTTAATGGTTGTATTCTGTGAGAATGTGGTCCTACCCTTGCCGAACTGCAAGCATATTATAGATGCAGTGTGACTCTACCACATATATGTATGTATGTCTATTTCTTTTGTACACTCTGTAGCCTAAATGTCTTCATGAATCTCAACATATAGGTGTTTTTAGAATCGTCTAGTTGTAGAAGTGACATATGATATAAAACTTTTCTTTTCATTATCTTTTATTACTGTTTTAGACTTGTAAATAACTTAATGTTTGCAGTTTTGGGACACACGCAGCGCGGTGCCCGTGATGACGATGAACCTCTCGGAACGTTGTTACTGCGCCGATGTGGTGAGTTTTGCTGATATGATACTTATTGGTAATATTACCATTGCAGCCTAATAAAAGTCTACTGTTGAACATAAGTCTCCCCCACAGATTGCCTCACTAGGAAGATATATACCATAGTTCCCGCACACACATACAAAAAAATCGGGGTATGGCTCTGTACTGGACACGGCCGTGTGGTTTACGTGAATACGTGAACGTAACGAATTATTTTATCCTTTAGCTATCGAATATAATTAAATTTTTGATCAAAATCATAATCTTTATTTTCGAACCAGTAATATTTAAAATTAAACACATTATTGGAACACTCCTTTTAAGCTAGGAAACTTGTGTTAGGAGGCTCCGTTCTTCCTGTCCTTCATTTATATAAATTAGTGTTTAGAACTTGGGTAACACATAGATTTTTGATTTATAATGAAACTTACATAGTATTTTTACAATGATACAATGTAGACGATAGATATGTAGCCGCAACACTAACTGTATCTCCTGACTTATCATCAGTTTTCTGAATTGCCTTCCACTGTAAGAAGCAAATTAAAAGATGTATTCACGTCTAAACTGCCTGTACCTAGGACTATCCAATGGCGGTGGTGGGTACTGCAGACCGGGGTATCTGTCTGTACACGCTGGAAGGCAAGCCGGCGGAGTTCAAACGCGTGGAGTCTCCGCTCAAGTACCAACACCGTTGCATCGCAATCTTCCGAGATAAGAAGACCAAGCAGCCGACTGGATTCGCGCTTGGCAGTGTGGAAGGCCGTGTGGCCATACAGTACGTGAACCCCGTCAACCCTAAGGATAACTTCACCTTCAAGTGCCATCGAACGGGAGCTGGCACAACTGGGAGTTTCCAGGTATGTGGGCTTCAAATTCAAATGGTTGGGGGTACAAATATGCTAGTTTTCAAATATTTAAAACTGTGGGGGTAGTTAGAACGGAATATAAATATTTTATTTATGACTAGCCACCCGCCCTGGCTTTGCTTGGGTAGGATCTATTAATGTAGTGTTATTTAGATTTAACATAATCATCAAAACCTCGAAATGTTTTTTTTTTTTATAAAATAACAGTGACAAACAAACACAGTCCACCTGACGGTAAGTGGATGCTGTGGCCCATAAACATCTTACATATCTATCTTCGGTTGGTAATCAAAATGCAGAATGTGTTGTCAGCCGTGAGGACAAATACGGAATGTCTCATTTCCAGTAAAAACTGTCTCCGACAACACACAGCAGCAATAAGCTGTTACACTGGTATTCTGTGAGAGCATAGTCCTTCCTCGGCTGAGCCGACCCATTCGTGCTACAACCACATAATATTCGTAGCATGGCTCTACTACATATAATATCTCCATTCGGAACGTAACTCTCTCTCTCGTTTGCTTTATCATTTCTATTTCAATATAAATTACAAGAATACTGATTTAAAGGCATTTAAGTTTAATACCACTGACTCACTCACACTTACGAGATATCCTGTAATGTTGGAAGGTGTCGATGAGAATGAGACATGTTGGTCTATCTAGGACTTTAATTAGACTATCCCTTAATAACTACAATTTACATAAATATAAATGTCTTGTGGGTTGCTCTACACTAGTATTATTTTTACTTATAAAAATGTTATGTATAAAAAGAATATAATTTACAAAAATGCAATAAGATCGAGACATTCTGTGGGTAGGTCGGGTGGCCAGATTCCCGCTGCCTCATAGTAAATTCGAAGTTACAATCTTTTTTTTTTATTCATATATAAAGGGCTTTGTCGCCGATGCGATTATGCCGCCCTGGTAGTTACAACAAATCTTAAATATAATTACTAACAAATAAATTTATTATGTTTACTAGTTACTTAATCTCTTATAAGTTACAATCTTGTACACAGTTTCTTCACAGTCTATTAATGCTAAACGATGTAGACATTTACATATTTTCTTATGAAGTATTTTTTCCACAATATATCTGTAGTATTTTTTTTTATTCAGTCACGTAATTATTAAGTCATATAATTACTTAAATCATCTTGTCATAAAACGTGAAAACGAACCACGTTAATATATATGTCGTGTAGGATGCTCTACACTACAGCCTAATTGACAACGATTTTGGAAAATTTAATCCCTGAGGAGTAAAAATAGGGTGTTACAGCTTGTATTTTATACAATTAGTATGAAAATGTTTAGAAACAGCATGGTAGGGATCACCTCATACCCTGGTGTTATTATCAATCATGTACTCTTTAGTAGTATAATAACCATTTGTTAACAATTGTCGCGCAGGACATCTACGCGGTGAACGATATCGCGTTCCACCCGGTGCACGGCACGCTGGCCACGGTGGGCTCGGACGGCTCGTTCTCGTTCTGGGACAAGGACGCGCGCACCAAGCTCAAGTCCTCCGAGACGCTGGACCAGCCGCTCACCAAGTGCGCCTTCAACCACAGCGGACAGATCTTCGCGTACGCCGTCGGATACGACTGGTCCAAGGTACGCTGCCAGTACTAGAGTTAGCCAAGTTGACCACAATCATTAACACTTATCCACCCATCAATTACCATTAAAACTTACATACAACTATTAGACTCAATGTTAACTTTGATTAAGTCCTTAGATAAGTTTTATAATACAGGACATCCGCTGGCAGATTTTACACTTTGAACTCTTGCACAATATAAGAAAATTTCTTGTGTCTTATTAGAAATGTCTTATAAGAAAGTCAGTGGCACTGGTTGTTATATGAGATCCTACATATTACAAGATATTTTGTCTTATGTAGCATCACACACGCGCATTCTAGTAATTTTGTCGGCTACATGTTCGATGTCGCGCATACACAAGACGTCTTGCTTAGACACGACGTCTTTTTTTTTTATAGGATCGGGTGACAAACGAGCACATAGTCCACCTAATGGTAAGTGGTTACTGTGACCCATAGACATCTACATCTATCCTCAATAAAGACTCAAGATGCAGATGCGTTGTCACCCGTGAGGACTAAGATGGAATGCCTCTTTGCCAGTAAAAAGGGTCTCTGGTTCTCTACACTCACCATACGAAACACAGCAGCGTTAAGCTGCTATTTTACGCTGGTTTTCTGTGAGAGCGTGGTCCTTCCCCGTTCGAGCCGACCCATTCGTGCTACAACCATAATATATCTGCAGCATGGCTCTACCACGTAGAAACGAAGAACGTGAGAAAGTCTACTCATATTATAAGTAAACAAGTTTGCGCGTGCACATTCGGCGCGTGACCAAAAACACGAGTAGTGTCCAAGCTTTCATTCAAATTAGACTTTTATTAAAATTTAAGTAGAAGAAAGACCGGTAATTTGGGACAAAACTTGTAAACAGTATAAATCTAGAAATTATAAGACCGCCGCGCCACCTGAGATGAAATATGTTCCATGTTAATAGAAAATTTTAAAGATTTGCCAATGCAATGGTAGAAAAAAATGAAAAAGGTAACTATATCATATTTTTTAATAAAATATTAAATTATTTGGTCATGATTACTCGATTTATATACGAGAGTCTGATGAATGACACCTGCAACTACGGCGTTTTCCTCTGTGGTAAAAGTTAGGCTCAGAAGGGCTAGAACCCAGAGCCGTAAAGCCAGTTTAAAAAAAAATGTGATAAAAGTATTCAATCACTATTAAACGCTGTCGCCTGTCCATTTGGTACCCGTGTATCCTCCGTGAATTATGACTACAGACCGACGATGAGACGTCTTGCATGAATGTGCACAATAAACCAAACAAGACATTTTTCTTGTCTAGTGTCCGTGTCTTATAATGTGCAAAAGACCTTAATCGGCTTTACGGGAACAGGAGTTGCGGCAATGAGAGGAATGAGGAATCGTTCGACGCGCGAGTGTCGCGGATTATTTAGTAGCCATAGAGGATTATTCAGTGGACGGGAACGCATCATTGAGGCTTATTTCGCAAATAATAATTCGGTGAACGTAGCAAGGCGTCGTTTTAGTTCGCAGTTTGATAATCGCAAAATAAAGGATGGCCCTTCGAACCAATTAACATGGGCATGGGTACGCAAGTTCAGAGAGACGGGACCGGTTGGAAATGAGGCTAGACCTGGTCCTTCAACGTCTGTAACGATTCCTGAAAAAGTGAATCGCGTGCGAGAAGAAATTATACGAAAACCACCACGCGAGCAAATTTTGATTGTAGCGTCTATGAACATGAAAAAAACGTTTGATCATAAAATATTGCGGACCAGCTTAAAGTTCCATCCGTATAAACTGCAAATCGTTCAACAACTGAAAAGATGATTACACAAGAAGGGAAAATTACGCTAGAATCGTTATGGAACGAGTTTCTACTCTTGCGCGTTTAGGTAACATACTGTTTAGTGACGAGGCGCATTTTCACGTTGTGAGATTTGTCAATAAGTAGAATTTGCGATATTGGAGTGAATATAACCCCGTAATAAGTTCATCAAGGCCCTTCGGCCCTTATTTTTTTTGGCGAACTTAAAACCGTCACTGCAGAAAGATACTGCGAGAGGCTGGACAACTTTTTTATACTGGAGCTACGTTGCTATGCTGGCTTTAACACATTTCCAGCAGGATAGGGCCACGGCTCTTACCGCTAAAGTCTCAAGAGAGAAAATAAGGAGCATTTTCCCAAGAAAAATAATAAGCCGCCCCCTAGATCGCCAGACCTAACCCCATGTTGTTTTCTCTTATGGAAATGCCTTACATCTCGCGTATATAGCAATTCGCCATCGACAATAAGAGTTCTACAGGAAATTATCCGTCGCAAAATCACTAGCATCAGTCCAGATTTCTGCAAGCGAGTCTTCGACAACATGAGGTTGAGATTGCAAGAATTTTTAGAGCTAAATGGGCGTCGTTTAAGTGGTGTTGCTTTTAAAACTTGAAATCCGCACTATTTCACTATAAGAAAATTAGTAAACAAATTTGACTGTATTTAAATTTGAGTCTTTATTATTAATTAAAGTGTAAAATCAGCCGGCGGACATGCATGTCCAGCGTTTGTTTGCGAGTCGATTTAATGTGGCTCCAACAGAATATTAGCACTGCAGTTGCTTTGTTACTCTAGCATTATGCTGTGTAGAGAACCGGAGACCCTTTTTACTGGCAACGAGGCATTCGATCTTAGCCCTCAGGGGTGACAACGCATCTGCATTTTGCTTCGTAATCGAGGATAGATGTAGATGTCTACGGGCCACAGCAACCACTTACCATCAGGTGAGCTGTGTGCTCGTGTGTCACCCCATTATTAGATACCTCACCCAGATGTGCTCGCTGCGCTAAAGCTACGTGTACCTGATAATTATACGTGTGTTCTCGTCGCCGCGCCCCGTTACTCCTCGTGCCCACTGCTAGGACGAAGTTGCTTGCTGAACTTCTATACACTATGTTATTATCACCTTACAAGATATTGACATATTGCAGACGAACGAAGTTTATAATTGCAGCATACAAATGCGTTGCAAATTGTAATTTTTTTAATTAATATAATTTTTATAGACAAGGTTTCTTATATATAGGTTAGTTATTGCATTGCATTGGTTAACATAACTGTAATGATGTTATAATTATGTAATAAATAAATAAATAAAATTCCATAAAAAAATTGCTATTCTGCAAGTTGCAGCAATAAATAAATATGTTCTCTTGTTGTCTGTTATATAAGCCTCTCCTATAGATTGTCTCATAGGTAGGATTTTGCCCATGAAACAAATACAAAGAGGAGACGTTGTAATTAAATTTCACTATGTAACAACGCGTGACAATTTGCGGGGTGAGGGGATGCAAAGCCCCGCCCACTACACAATCTACATCTACCGATAAATTGTAAAACTACTCGAATCTTTCCATATCGATGTTGCAATGTAGCTTAGCTACCTTGACGCTAGATGGCGGCATGTCCACAAAATGTTATAAACTATTAAAAATAATATTTTGGCGATTAAAATTTCTTTATGTCTAAATGCAAAACAAATTTCAACACCTTCGTATGATTATTTTATCATTACTGAGCTCTACGTACCTTTATATTTTTAGTTCACAGGACATAAAGTGTCGCCATCTAGTGTGGAATATATTTAATTATATTTGAAAGCCGACGCAAAGAGATTTTTCTAGAACTATTTTAATAAATTAGGTGTAAAATTACTTACAAATGAAATGTGATGCCATCCATAGCATCGGAGCGTCTATCTCATGAAGCAAATACATTCAGACAAAGAAATTTTAATCGCCAAAGTAATATTTTTATAGTGTTCATAATAATTTTGGGAACAGGCCGCCATCTATCGTCAAGTAAACCTCATAAAAAATAACAAAAAGACAGGGCCGCAATCAGAATTTAATTATTTTACCCAGTAACCCAACATTCAATATTAAAATGAGGGAAATTGTACTTGGCTGATTTTTACGAAATGTTTAAGTTATATTTAAGTGACATTCTATATGCAAAGAATCACTTAAATACAATTTAAATATGTTTATCATTTCGTGAAAGTCAACCTTCAAGAAATATTTATTTTATCCATAAAATAAAGTCTCTTTGAAACTAAATATTCTATATTCAATATTAAGTAGGATATTTAATTTGGAACTAAATATCCTACTTATCTCACTAATATTATAAAGGCGAAATTTTGTGTGATCTTTCTGCCTCCTTGAGCTTATTCCACACTAAGTATGTGTAATTTTTTCACGCAGAAACGGCTGGACTATACGGCTGGACTATTATTTATGTGTGGGTTATACTACTTAATATCTCTGAGGGAGAACAAATAATAGACAAATTATTGTAATTCATATAATTTTATTTACAAATCGATTAAAATATAAATATTTTATTCCAAATTAGGCATCCGAATGCACTTTTTGAATGCCAATCTAAGAACATTAAATTGTATTTAAGTGATTCTTTGCATATAGAATGTCACTTAAATATAACTTAAACATTTCGTAAAAATCAGCCTAAGTACAATTTCCTGCAGTTAATATTAAAAGTTGGATTACTGGGAAAAATAATTGAATTCTAATTAGGGCCCTGTCTTTGTCATTTTTATGAGGTTTACTTGACGAGAATACGGCCTGTTTTCAAAATGATTTTAAACTATAAAAATAATATTTTGCGATAAAAAAAATTTATCGCAAAATATTATTTGAAAGCCGACGCAAAGAGATTTTTCTAGAACTATTTTAATAAATTAGGTGTAAAATTATTTACAAATGAAATGTGATGCCATCCATAACATCAGAGCGTCTGAGTAATTTTTACACAATAAAACACAACACTTCATCCTTTTCTTCTTAATACTACGAAAATACACCGATTTGCGATTTTTTCAACACATAAGCGCACAGGACGAATGCTGACAGTATACTAACTAAAGCCACGCCCACTATGATGACGTCAGGACCTACTTAGAATCACAGTGCACAGTTGCTTATGCCGTCTCCCCTTTGTATTAGCTTCATGATTTTGCCATCGATGTCATGCTTGGCAGGCAGGTTGGTAAACGCAGTTCTTTGAAGTGAAAATTTCTTTAGTATTATTGATTTGAAAATCGATGAAACGAAAGAGACAAACATGTATAAATGATTTAGCCTGCGAGAAAATGAATACAGTATACAGTTTTTCTGAAGGTTTCACTTCTATCGCGTTTGAACTGCACACGTTTTTTTTTATAGAATAGAATTAGGGTGACAAACGAGCACACAGTTCACCTGATGGTATGGCGTAGGCTGTGGGCGCTCGGGAGCGCTACACCCGAGCGGCCGCAGCCTACACCCACTAACACAATGTGTATGTGCATGGCTATCTACAACCAAAGTCAAAACTTCATTGAAAAAGACATTTATCCTCAATTAAACTGAGATTAGATGAACTTGCTAAGAAGCCTAAATCGCGCTAACAAAGTTTCGAAATTAGAGCAGTATTTATAGAATAGCTCCGAACTACCACTCGGAGCGTTGGCCGCTCCCGGGCAGAACACCTTGCCCGGCGTGAGATCTCCCCTTTTCCTTCCACCGGCTACAGCCTTATTTCCAATAGAAATTTATAATAAATTGACGTCATGTTACATGACGTTAAGGTATGATATTCTCATTCGTTTTTATAATTTCCATTATCATAACGTGGTAGAGCCATTCTGCAGCTATATTATGGTTGCAGCACAAATGGTTCGGCTCTACTTAGGAAGGATTGGTCAACACTGTCATTGGTCTCAAGTTCTAATCTCGGCCTAAAATCTGTTACTGGGTTTTTCTCTCAAGAAATTCTCAGTAGCAGCTCCAAGTCAAAAGTGGCGGCGTTTTACCCCCGTGCCGAGGAAAGCATGTAAAATCCTGTGTCTGATCTCTCTCCGGTCATCTTATTAGTCAAGATCATAATTTGCATTAAAACAAATTGAAAGAAGCGAAAGAGGTATGTAAGGATCGTGACACTTGGCGATCTGTTCTCTCTGGCTACCCCGTCAGGTCTTGTGCGTGAAGATAAGTAGTAACAAATTTCCAAGGACGAAGTGTCGAGACACACTTTGTGCATAATGGACCTCTACAATAAAGCAGTCAATCCTGAATGGATTGACTGAATCGTTGGTTTAGTGGTCGTAAGCGTGACTTCTTATCATTAGGTCCCGTATTTAAATCTCGGATCGGTCTTAAAATCAGTTTCTGTATTTAATAGATGACAATGGATTGACGCAAAATAAACCGTTGCTTAAAACTGCCTAAACGAATTGTGCCTAAACAACAAGAAACAAGTATCCAGGCCACTCAATTATTTTATGCATTTGTAATTACCGTAGTTTGACATTCCAGGGCCATGAACACTTCAACCCAGCCAAGAAGAACTACATATTCCTGCGGCCGTGCTTCGATGACCTTAAGCCACGCACCACTTGAAGACCCTCACGTGCCCGCAGTCCGTATAGTGTGTGCAATATGTGCAGTATTGTGTGTATACATGCAGTATTGCGTGGAGCGCACACAATGCCCGGTGCCTAGCGGCTCTAGGGTAGTAATGCAATGAACTGTTGTTTCTATGTGAACTTAAGCCATTGTTTGTTTATGGACAAAAATGAATAAAAGATTTAAAGTGGTGTTTTTGGTTTTAATTATGTATTATGAAGCTGTTTATCTTTTTAAAAGATAGGCAGCACCTTAATTTATAATCTACACTGCTTTTGATTAATTAGTATTAAGCATATGCCTCCAGGTAATTTAGTTGGATTCCTAATACCTTATTCCATAAGCAGATAGTCATAAACCAGCACATAGTCCAACTGATGGTAAATGAATACAGCCACATCTATCATTGATTTTTTTTTAAAACGTTACCCCCACACTAGGATTTTCTCCTGTATCGTGGAGGCAGTTTACAAACACAAATTTCACAAGGACAAACATCCAGACCCAGAACAATCATTTATAGGCCATACAAATACTTGTTCCGTGCGGGATTCGAGCCGTCGGATTAAGAATCAAAATGCATTATCACCCCTGACAATTAAGATGCTCTATACTCACTATACATGTAACATGCAGCATTATTCTGCTGTTTCACACTGGTATTCGTGTTGCATAAGTTGTGAATAAAATTATATTGACTTTACAGCAGTGGACTGCAAGCTGACAATAATTAGCTATTTTAGTCCTTAAAAAGATTTTTCTTCTTACATCTGAACCCACTGACAAATTAAACTACAAATTGTCGTAAAATAAAAAAAATGTTACAACTACCGTGATTATTAAATCAAAAGCCTTTAAATTATTTTTAACATTAGTGTTTAATGAACACTGGCTAAAAATTGTTTATTATAATTTCAAAGTGTACATATAAATTAACCTAAGGTAACACAGACAGTAGACACTAATGATGTTCATCCCCATGGCCGTGACCGTGGTCGTCCTTGCCACCAGCGAGCTCTGTGATAGCCACAGTGGCTACCGTGAGAGCTAGCCCGAGTGGGAAGCCACGGAAAAACAGTTTACGTGCTCTCAATCCACGAGTGCCGAAGCCAGGGTGGTATCTCCATGCTTCATTTCTGTAAAAAAAATTTTTTACAGTAATTAAGTATTGCAAGAACACCAAAAATCTACGCAATGATTGTCGATTCTTTAAGCTATAGGGCCAGCCCACTGCAACATTAATGATGATGGTTAGTCTGATTCTATTGGGATATAATTACGAAATTTATTTTACGGAAAAAAAAATTATGAGGTAGAGCCATGCTACAGCTGTGCCATAGGTATGGCACTAATGGATCAACTCGAATGGGGTAAGATAACACTCTCACAAAATACATTGTTTATTTAATTAATATTTTTATCATCAGGTTTAATACCCTATTATACCATTAATTTGGACTGACTTAAAAGAGTAAATATATAATATTTTCTTGCATTTCTAATTGATGCAACTTTTTAGAAACATTAAACACTTTCACTGTCCAGTTTTCAGACACAATAGTAAGACAATAGCAATGACCGATATATAGTGAATGGGACAGTGAAAGGGTTAATTTACTGCTAATCTATGGATTTTACATACACTGTGTTACGCCAGTAATTATCAAGAAGGTAGGCAGAGTCCAAAGAGCAGTAAGCTAATCAGATCATGTTTAGCAAAAAATATGCGTTAAGTTGGAAAATTGTGAAAGAAGTGATAGATGGATAGCCTGTTGCCAACACAATCTCAAACTTATTTATATTATAGACTGCACCCATAGTCAACCAAGCCACAGCTACAAAATCTCCCTACCATAACAAAAGAGGAACCTGTTCAGCAAAGGTCATTATAACTTTGGTCAACCACCGGCTCATCCCAGTCAGATTCACAATGCAATACATGGTTATATGCACTACTGAATTAACACCTGTAACTATTTTATATATGTACATATGGTATATTCTATTTAATATATCTACAATCAATGCATGTGTTGTCATGTGATAGATTAAGATCGCATTTTCAGTAATTGAACTGTACTTGCAATGCACTGTAGGGGCATCCACAAGAGATGAACTATCACATCTACATCTGGTGCTCCTTGAATAATCGATGAGCTTCTCTTGTAACTAATTGGCAAATTCTTCCACCTCAATGGTAAACCTTAATACACTGACCGGCACAAAAAGCATATCACTGAACTTTAAGTCATTGTTTTTTTTGAATTTTTTTGTTATCATGTCGTATTGATAAATGTTTAAGTTATCTTTGGCAAATAATATCCGACAAACAAAACTCGTAAGTAAAATCGGGACTCATCTGTGATTTCCCAATTCACATGTTCATGTGCAAATGCAAGTCTGCTGACTCGATGCTGCTTGGTAAGTTCTGGGCCATTTGCAGGTATTCTGGCCATGATATAAGTCTCTTGATAGTCCTGTCACTTACATACACATCTCGAACTTCAGCAAGGTGATTCCTGACTTCAACAGCAGTCATAGCCCTGTTACATAATATTGCTAGGGTACAGAGTCTTTGGCTATCTGTTCCTGGCCGAAAATAAACACAAATATAATTTCAAGATTATTTATTTAAAGAAAGTGAGTAATTTATTGTGCCGGTCAGTACATTTTGAATTCACTTAACCTCTTACAGACCTGCTATCTTTTATTAGTGCCCACACCATACTGTACTTGATAAATAGCTCTCTATAAAAGAAGGGAAATTGCACTTCAGTTATTGTAGCACATGTCACTATGAGACACAAGGCAGCTCAGTGGTGTAATGGCTTAGCAATGAGTTACAGCACTGAGGATTGCAGGTTCATATCTGCACAGAACAAGTATTTGTATAGACTACAAGTAATTATTCCAGGTCTGGATTTTTGTCCTTGTACAATTTATGTATGTAAACTGCCTCGACGATACAGAAGAAAGTCCTAGTGTGGGGGTAACATATAAAAAAAAAGAAGACATTAACATAAAATGCTCATTATTAGTAGAAAAGATCTCTGGATCATCACATTACGCACCTACTTTACCCTGTTATTCTGAAAAGCATGGTTCCTCTTTGACCCAGCCATAATAGAACTGCATTGTGGCTCTTACCACATAAGTATTTTGTGACAATATAGTGCTACTTTTAACTTTGACTTTGAATCCACCACATTTTTTTTCAAAGTAGTTTAGGTACTCTTTTAAAATTAATTAAATTTGAAAGGAGTTTACGTCACCTGATCCAAGGATCGCGAAGTCCTTTTTTAGCAAGCGCTTGTTCAAGCTCTTCAAGCTGTGGAATACCCTTGGTCTGAAACTGCGAATAATGCGGCACCTTATATGGCGGTTCATGCCCGTGTCCACCCATGTCTAAAGATATAAAAACAGTTAAGTTTTAGTCATTATCAAAATATACAAAAGTATAAATTATTAGTAACCTATCTAAAATAAATTATTACATAACTCAAAAGCATTAATTGTAACAATAAAAACAAAGGATACTACAGTGATGTCGGTCCTTACTTTTCTTTAACTTTAATAAAAATTTAAAAACGTTTATTAAAATTAAACTGCAATAAACCTAACCTGGGTTTTGGTTTCAGACTTTCTATTTACAGCTGATAAACAGAAACAGACGAACAACAGCAGCAGCAGACTTCTATCAAAATCAAAAGTCAATGTCAAAATCTTCCTCTTCTTGTTAACTGGCTTTACGGCTCTGTGATCTAGCCCTTCTGAGCCTGAAGTTACAATATTATATTATAATAATTATTCTTCATATTATACTGCTTCACAATATGTTGATGCGTCACATTGTGCAGCCCTTGGGAGATTTTGACGGTAACTAGAGCCAGCAGACAGCTGACGGTTGGCGATGGTATCTCAAGGCGCCTAAGCAGACAGGCACCTTATTTTGAGAATCATATCACTATCAGAGCACTTGTTTCACAGTTTCCAATAATAGTTCACATGCGCAGATACTTAATACACAAAAACGCACCACTTTTACATATCAAAGTCCACTTCAAACCATTATTTAAACAATAAAACAGGAGCAACAAACCGCCGCCGGTCAAGTTTCCGCCAAAACTCCTCCAACTTCAAAATCCTGTGGTCAAAATCAAAGAGTATGGTAACTATTCTAAACAAGAGTCAAAATATAAAATCATAAAGTAGGCATGTTTATTCTCTGTGGTGTAAACTTTTAATTTTTATTTCCATTATTAATTATTATTAAACAATAGTCTTCGGTGCCATTATTCCGTTCATCATCATCATAATCATCGTTACAGCCCTTCACAAGTCCACAACTGAACATAGGCCTCCCCACATTTATGCCTTTATTAAGCCCTTCTGAGCCTGAAGTTACAATATTAATTGTAACAATTACAGCTACTTTAATATAATATATTTTAATAAAACTAAGTCAAAATAACATTATTGTATGTTTGTCTGTCGGACTGTCTGTCCGGGAAAAATCTTCGGAATGGCTCAACCCATTGTGATCTAGGCTACAGTTTATCAGAAAAACTTAAATATTTATGAAAAAAAAAAACGAAAATTTGATAAAACAATGACATTTGATTATCTTAAACTTAAATCTAAATAACGCCACATAAATATTGCATTGCAAGAAGGCTGATCTCAATATGCGAGGGGTATGCGAAATCCCACGGCCTCTTGTATAATGTTAGGAAAAGCGAGTTGATGGTTTTTAAAGCTAAGACCCGTAAGGTGATTTATGTACCGCCTGTCAAGCTTAACGGTAGCGAACTTGTAAGGGTGCCATCCTTCAAGTATCTCGATTAAGTGGTTACCGAGGACTTGAAAGATGACAACGATATTGAAAAGGAAAGAAGGGTGATGGCAGTCCGCTGCAACATGTTGGCTCGTAGGTTTACATGTAGCAGTCCAGATGTGAAAATAACACTGTATAAGGCGTACTGCCGAACACTTTATACGTGCAATCTATGGGTCAGCTACACGTAGGGGGCTATCAGCGCTCTCCGAGTACAATATAATAATGGTCTGAGGATGTTGTTGGGGCTTTCAGGTTACTGCAGTGCATCAGGGATGTTCGCGCTGGCGCACATTGATGGATTTCACACAGTAGTGCACAAGCAAATCACATCCCTCCTGCGCACAGTGCGGGGGAGCGTCAACACCATTCTCAGAGTTATCGGCGAAAAGCCAGACTGTCCGATACTGCGGTACTGGGTGTACGCTCACACACATGTTGCAGAGGTGTCGCGCAGTGCAGGCAGATATTTAATCTAGAATAAATCTTTTCCAAGAAGTGTTACTAACATAGTTTTTAAGATCTCTTTTTTATGCTACTAACAACATGAACAAACGTCTCATATAAATCAATTTTTTATTTTATTTTATTTATTTATCATTAATATATCCTACAGAAGCAAAGCTGAGGCGGACCGCTAGTCACTCATAAAAAAAAAGAATTAGAATTTTAAATTGCTATTGGTTTGAAGTAGGAAAATTAAGGTCATTTTGCACGTTAAGTGTTAGTGTATGTGGACTATTAGTAGAAATTATGCTACAAGCACATCCTAAGAGAGAGAATAAACTACATACATTGTACATACTCCCTCTACGAACACACCAGTTCCAGTTGGCTTCGATATTGTAATAAACTTTGACACAAACATAACATACAAAAGTTACTTATTTTGTCATCGACTATCTGTTGTGTTAAGCTGTCGTTTCGTTACTGTCGTTAAGTTTTTGAAACAAAATATTAAAAAAGATAATCTTATCACCTACTTGTCTTGATCATAATACTCGTCACTGGAAATTTTTAGAGTATTAATAGGAAAAGTCAGGAATTAAAAATAAGAACAATTAAACGCGATCAAATCCCTAAAATTAGTTTTATTCAATGTATAAACAGGCAAGTTATAGAGCTCGCGAATCGCTCATTGCCCACTATGCCCAGCTTAAGCAGATGTCCTAGAGATATTGATACATTAGAGCGGTTGAATAGTGATGCGCCAACATTGACTTAAGTTATTAATTTAATTAGATAAACTTTAACAGATTAATAAAACACATACCAATTTATATAACAATGTTTATTAATAAAACATAAAAACTAATTAATTTACTGCCCCTTAAAAAGGGTTCACTTATTATATATTATTGTCGTTTTAATTTATTGATCGCAGTTTTACGTATAGGATATTTCAATCTAATGTCAAAATATTTTTGAATAACATCCATTAGTTTTGAAAAAATCGTGAGCATATACACGAAATTAACTTTTTTTATATAGGATAAGGATAACAAACGAGCATACAGTCCACCTGATGGTAAGTGGTTGCTGTGGCCCATAGACATCTACATTTATCCTCGATTACGAATCAAAATGCAGATGCGTTGCCACCCGCCAGGACTAAGATGGAATGCCTCGTTTCCAGTAAAAAGGATCTCCGGTTCTCTACACTCACCACACGAAACACAGCAGCATTAAGCTGCTATTTTACGCTGGTATTCTGTGAGAGCGTGGTCCTTCCCCGGTCGAGCCGACCCATTCGTGTTACAACTATACCAGAAATATAGCTGCAGCATGGCTCTACCACGTAAATAACTACCTAAGCTAGGTTTTTAATCGCTTTAATATAAGTGTGATCTTCCTTCAAATTTAAGCTCTGATATTGCACATCCAACCAGGAATCAAATGAATGGAACCAAGGAAACTCACAGTTGGTCTTCTTTGTAGCTAATACCCATTCAATTGCCAAGTAGTTGCTTTTCGAAAATCTGTAATCAGAAAAGTATTCTAACCGTATTTATCATTATTATGTACCTTTATCACAAAGCTATTCAAAAGTTTAATTTTAAACATTGAACTATATTGGTTTATAATCAATAAGGATCCTAATTTCTTATACTATGATTATGTTATTATTACGAAAGAAATCATGTTATTACAAGATATTTGTGTACAACGCGGGAGTACGTGCTGTGTCGACAGACCCGCGCGCTTGCCGTAACATCCTAATTAATTTTGTTAAAATCAGTGTTTTCTTATAAAAATATTACTTACCGATCAAAAGAAATATCATTCATTATTCTTCTAAGTGAATCGTTTTTACAGCTTCGTGAATCGTTTTTACAGCTTGTTACTGCACATATCATCATGGTAATTTATACTTGAAGTATATACGGACGGGAGAAACACACAGTGCGCGTGTTGTTTCGTGAATCGTGACTAATAGCGTTGCTGTTGTCCTTGTAATTTCGAGGCTGTTCATACCTGTGTTTACTGTTCATACTCGCTAATGCGCGCTCTATTGCTTGCTTATATATATTCTAAGGATAATTTCGTATTACTTGACACTGGCAAAAGTACAATGGTTCGAGGCCATTACCAAAGTAAAAAAGTCAATCATTATCAGCGTTGCCAACATGTGAGGAATTCCCCAAATTGCGGGGAATTTAAAGTTGGTGTGGATTTTTCGGGGATTGGTATTATGCGGGAAAACTGCGGGAATTTTTAAAACCGATAGCCTGGGCCAAGTCAGAACCTTTTTTCAAGAAATCGAAATACTTATCTTAACATTTTTTTTAGGTTACTTATTAATATCGAATGACACCCTTTTTTAATTATCTTCATTGTACCACATTCAATTTTCGGATTTATTTCGGCAACTCTTGTGTATCGTTTAAAGCTTTTCATTTTTTTATCTTTTATTTTAAGGCAGAGAACCGCACGCAAAATGTAGATACTGTGATAGTTTTTAATGGCAACAAGGGAAGGAATTAAAAATACTCCATGGTGTAAAATGCTTGTTACAAAAATATGGAGTATGGAAATAATTCGGTAAAAGAGAAAAAAAAAATGTTGGTTAAAAACAAATCTTATAAAATTATTTGAAAATTGTTTTATTTCTTAAAATAAAATTGAGGGGAATTTGTGGGGAATCTGTTGAAGTTTTGTATCGAAATTATAGAATTTGACAGATTTTCGGGGAATTTGACAAATTTGTGTTGGCAACGTTCATTATACGGGCAGACTATATTTATATTTTTAATTTAAAGTTTAAATGCGCGTCGCTAACCGCGAACGGAGGACGAGACGAGTGTAGTGACAAAAGATTATTGTTGTTGGTTGTTTCAAGCTAGTGTGAGATGTGACCTTTGTGTTTAACTAGAAAACAATTGTATTTTTAACATAAGTGTCTTGATTTCATATTTTACTTTTTAATTACGAAATAGTGTAACATTTAATATAAATAAACACAACCGAAAAAGCCAAAGTAGGTTTTCATGTGCAAAAAGCGAGTACATCAGTGCATAAACAAAATAGTAGTCTTCAGTGAGTGAACACTTTTATATAAAAACCTTGTACCTATTTTGCAAGATCGTTGAAATGGGCTCGCACGCGTGATGTCAAAAAATATGGCCAGGGTGCCGGGCGCTGTGCTGTTGGCCGTGCTTTGCGCTGCGGCGCCGGCTCGCGCCTACTTACACTTGCCTCTCGGTAAGCTCCGCATGATCGCCTGCAACTTCAACTTCCCATCCTTGAAGCATGCACTAAAAATACGCATGATACAGTTCCATTATTAAAAGTTTTATACCAAGACATTCTTTTTTTATTTGACAATTTACCTAACCCTAGTACTTAATTAATCCCGACAAAGAATAATATG